CCCATTTCCAGAGCCTGAGTTTTGAAGTAGCAGAATTTGGGGAAAGCCTCTTGCAGACACTGTGGGAGTCCTGGAGTCCCCTAGGTGCTTTTTCAAGCTACTTGGGACTAGCCCCTTGTCTCAGGCACTAATTGGAACTCTGGGTCTGTGGCAGAGCCTTTACTGCTGTGCCATAGCTTCTGGCCTGGGCCTGGCCTTGAGTTCCAGCCTCCCTCTCCGTGCCTCTCGGCTCCCCCCCCACCTGTCTCCAATGCTTCCCCAACTTAGGTACATGATCTCCCTGTCCCTGGGACAAGGAGGATGTCTGAGGGGATGGGGAGAACCCCTCTTTGATACTCAAAAGCCAGCCTTGAGCCAGTGCCATGGGCATCTCTGTCTAGGTCGTGTTTCCAGATGCTACAGAAGTGGGCAGCGGGAAGCAGCCCTTATCAGCTCCAGGAAGGCCAGAGAAGGGGCGTGAACACAGAGAAGCATCCGAGGAGGGGCCCCCAGACCTCAGGACCCAGGAGCAGAAGCCTCCAGCAAGACGAAGGTGAGCCGGGGGCTTTTCGGGAACAGGTCTAGGAGAGAATCCCCCTGGAATCAACCTGGAGGAGAGAGAAACTCTAGAACTCCCAGACTAGGGCAGATCCTGGCCACAGCGCCCTGCACTTCTCTTCCATAGCACTACTTGTACTAAACCATTACTGTGTTAACCTTTTATCAGAGCACCCGCCCACCCCCTGTTAAGCCTCTCTTATGTGTCTTTTTTTTTTTTTTTGAGACAGAGTCTTACTTTGTTACCCTCAGTAGAGTGCCAGGCATCATAGCTCACAGCAACCTCAAAGTCTTGGGCTTAAGCAATTCTCTTGCCTCGGCCTCCCAAGTAGCTGGAACTACAGGCACCCACCACAACGCCCGGCTATTTTTTGTTGCAGTTGTGTCATCGTTGTTTAGCAGTCCTGGGCCGGGTTTGAATCCTCCAACCTCGGTGTATGCGGCTGGTGCCATAACCACTGTGCTACAGGCACTGAGCCTGTGTCTTGTTCAAGGCACATTTATATGTCCTATTTGGCCACAAGTTCCTCATGCCTAGTACTGTGCCTGGCATATAGTAGATACTCAATAATTTTTTGTTTTGGAGACAGAACCTCAAGCCGTCCCCCTGGGTAGAGTGCTGTGGCATCACAGCTCACAGCAACCTCCAAATCCTGAGCTCAAGCGAGTCTCCTGCCTCTGCCTCCCAAGTAGCTGGGACCACAGGCACCCACCACCATCGCCTGGCTATTTTTTGTTTGCAGCCGTCATTGTTGTTTGGCGGCCCTGAGTTGGATTCGAACCCGTCACTTTAGGTGTATGTGGGCTGGTGCCTTAGCCACGTGAGCCATAGGCACCAAGCCATCTTTCACTGAATTAATAGAAGAATGCACAGAGAGGCTGAGAGACACAGAAACATACAAAGATGTGCGTGATATTATTGTTATTGTTTTCTAAAGTTTGTATATATTTTTAATCTATTCTACAGCAAGTATTTTTTTTTCCTTGAAATAGAGTCTTAACTTTGTCACCCTCAGTAGAGTGTTGTAGCGTCACAGCTCACAGCAACCTCAAACTCTTGGGCTCAAGTGATCCTCTTGCCTCAGCCTCCCAAGTAGCTGGGACTACAGGCACCCACCACGATGCCTGGGTCTTTTTTAGAGATGGGGTCTTGCTCTGGCTAAGGCTGGTCTTGAACCTGTGAGCTCAGGCAATCCACCCACCTTGTCCTCCCAAGTCTTGGGATTATGAGCGTGAGCCACCGCACCTGGTCAAGAATGTATTCTTCTAACAAGAGAAGGTCCCAGCTGGGCGCTGTGGCTCATGTCTGTAATCCTAACACTAACACTCTGGGAGGCTGAGGCAGGTGGATTGCTTGAGCTCAGGAGTTTGAGACCAGCCTGAGCAAGAGTGAGATCCTATCTCTATTAAAAATAGAAGAACCAGCTGGCCATTGTGTCAGGTGCCTGCAGTCTGGAGGTTGAGGCAAGAAGATCACTTGAGCCCAAGAATTTGAGGTTGCTGTGAGCTATCGCCATGGCACTCTACCTAGGGTGACAGAGTGAGACTGTGTCTCAAAATAAAATAAAATAAAATAAAAGGAGAAGGTCAAGGGACCCAGAGAGAGGCAAAGTGAACAACTTGAGGAAGAGGAATAGTGAAGACTAACTGGCTTATTACTGAAATTTGATTATAACCCAAAACTCCTAAATAACCTCTACGTGGAAAGTTAGGGGAATCAACCCAAGCCAGGTTTGAACCCCGCTGAGATAAATAAATGCTGCACACCTCACATATATACATACACGCATACCATGTTGGTGGAAATACAAACCGTTTCAACATATCTGTTTCACTAACTTGGTGATTTGTTTCAACTGCCTTTAAATTGTCTTGCCCGGCTTGGCTCCCATAGCTCAGGGAGTAGGGTGCCAGCCACATACACCGAGGCTGGCGGGTTCAAGCCCAGCCCGGACCTGCTAAAACAATAATGACAACTGCGACCGAAAAATAGCCGGGTGCTGTGATGGGTGCCTGTAGTCTCAGCTACTTGGGAGGCTGAGGCAAAAGAATCGTTTGAGCCCAAGAGTTTAAGGTTGCTGTGAGCTGTGATGCCACAGCACCCTACTGAGGGCGAGACAGTAAGACTCTGTCTCTAAATGAATACATAAATACATAAATAAATTGTCTTAACCCTCATCCATTTCTAGAAATACTCCCTAAGGAAATACTTCGTGATTCAGGCGAAGTTTTATGCACAAAGATATTCCCTGTCACATTATTTTAAATATTAAGAAATTGGGGCTCAGCGCCTATAGCTCAACCGGCTAAGGCGCCAGCCACGTACACCTAGGGTGGCGGGTTCGAATCCCCAGCCCGGACCCGCCAAAACAACAATGACGGCTGCAACCAAAAAATAGCCGGGCGTTGTGG